GAATCCCTTGAATCCCTTTCTCCTTGGTTCTAACATCCAGTACATTAGCAATAAACCCTTGACATCCCTGTAGCAGTAACTTCTTTGCAGTCATCACTGAAATCACATTTGCTAACGGATTCCATCTTTCACTAAATACAATAATTTCTACTCCTTCGGAACTTCTCAACGTCACTCTTTTCAATCTACAATCGACATCAGCATAATAACGATACAACCAATCCATACCCAATATCACTTCGAATTCATCAAAAGGTAATTCCATCAGATTAGCAGGGAATTCAATTCCCTGAATTCGTATGGGACACCCTCGGCTCACCATATTTACTCGGGCACTGTGCCCTAATAGATTCGTCACTATCACCTCCTTGCTAGTAATTTCTAACGGAATGTTCAATTCTTTCACTAACTTACTAGTAATGTATGAATATGTAGACCCGGGATCAATCAATACAATAACACCTTTGTCAAACAATAGAAAGGTACCTGTTATAATATCTGGGTCATCACAATCATCATTGGTCTTGAGGTTGTACACCCGAGCAGTGGAGTGTATCTCTTGTTGAGCAGAGAACTCTGACTGACTTCTTCCTCTGCCTCTACCTCTTCCCCTCTGGGTTACAGAAACAGACCTCTCAGGCTGTACAGGTTCACTAGTTGACATTGGACAGTCTCGAACGAAGTGTCCGGCGTCTCCACATCTAAAGCAGACTCCAGAAATCATCCGACATACCCCTAAATGATTCTTTCCACAATGCGGTCATTGTCTGGCTTGACTCTGATTAGTTCTCCCAGCTCCCGATCCTGCTGATTGAGTTTGTTTGCCTCTCATCGGATTTGATCCTCTAGCTGAGGATACCACTGACTCCGATTTAGCTTGAGGTCGAGAACCAGCATCTCTACCTCTTTTTGATGGTGCGGAACTCGAAGAAGCACCTGTTATCTTGACTGTTTGAGTCCTTGAATTTTCAAATCTCTCATTCTGAGCTCTTTCCAAAGCTTTGGTACGATTGACTACCTCTTGAAATGAGGATAGATTCAATATAATCAACATCTTCTTCAACCGAGGACGTAATCCCTCTACGAACCACTCACAAGCATCCTTCTCAGTAGGAACAAGCTCGGCAGCAAAACGACTCAACTTATTGAATTCACACTCGTACTCATATACAGTGTGATTCCATTGTTTCAGATTCATGAACTCTTGCTTCATTTGACGAACAAATTGATCTCCGATGTACTTATGTTTGAATTCTTCTAAAAACAATGACCAATTTACTTGGGCGTTAGTCATCCTCAATGTAACATTAGTCCACCAGATCCTTGCTTGTCCTCTCAACAAGGAAATTACTCCATCTAGCTTATCAGCATCGGAACAATGAAGACTCGTAAGCATGACCTTCACGTCATTAAGCCAAAGGTCCGCAGTAACAGGACCTTCATTAGCTTCCCCTTTAAACTCTGGAGCTCCCAATCCCTTCAACTCTTTCGCAACATTTATTTTTGGAGTTGAAATAACAAGAGGTTGGAAACGCGTCAATACCGCGTCTAACGTTCTAAAGAATATATCTTGATCATTGACAGGCATTCCCGAGGATGTCTGTTCTTCACTCTGCTTGGACGGGGCAGGTGAATTACTACTTTCAATGGGTCTATCGTCTCCCGCTTCATTTCTAGATCTACCCTGTCCGGACATCTATAAAAATACAACCATATAGTTCTATTAGCAAAACAGCATACTTACTATTCCATCAGATCAGAAGTTTCCACTATTTGTTGGCATGTATACCTTATAAGACACTCTAGACTTCAGTTTATGCCGAGAATCGACTAAACCGTAGCTCTGATACCATTAAATGTAACACCCTTAACTCATATCCGACCCGAATACAAGTCCGATGTGTCACATTGACTTTTCAAATCTTTGACTCTTACAGAAAATCCCGGGAATTTTTAAAAATTTCATTAAAACGAAATACATTAATTTACATAAGACCATAAAATACAAAATCGATCAGAGTATTCGTAATTAACACTTATTACATACCAACACTCTATACATAATCAAGTACATACTTTGTCAATTTACTTCTGATCTGATCTCTTAGTAGTATTGCTGCATGTGCTACTTCTATTTCCACTCTTCCTGATTCTTGGTACCTACGTGTAAATCACTTACACGCTAAGTCATAGACTTAGTGAGGCAATAAATGAATATGCAACGATAAACTTATGAATGTTCATACTTACCATTGGATCATGACATTTCAATGTGCATTTATTTATCACATGATAACACATATAATCATATAATGCACATACGAAACTTACATTCTTGTATCACTTTCACTGTAAATCGGTATATCAATTGCATTGCCCATGTATATTATTGAGAATAGAGGTATGTGAGTACATTGAGGTTGTGCACTAATGCTATCACCACAGCTCGTATCAATTCCCTCATGGGGCACCGAACCTTAGTTCAGTATTCATCCCGTAGGACTATTATCTATGTCCCGTAGGACCATTACATCCCGAAGGACTACATCCCGAAGGACTACATCCCGAAGGACTATTATACCCTCAACTCTTGGCATGCCAACTACACCTATAGTTCTCATATCGTATACTATGGGCATTATTCTTATTTTTCATATGTTCATGTACTCATCTCATTTCTCTTGTGATCATGTATCTCATATCACTTCATATCGTGTTCTCATATCACATGTCATATCACATATCATATCACATGAACATATACATGTCTTATGCATATATTACAATAATTATCATGTATGCATGTTCACAACTATTGTATTATAAAAATCAACATAGGGATTAGACTTATCACAAGTCTTATTCCATTATAATATACATCTAGTATGCACTCACCTTAGCTTTGCTTTGTTTCGATTCTAATCCTTTGATCGTTCCGGAATAAGCTTACTTTTAGTATCTACATAATCACACATGGATGTATATCAGTATTATAACTAATATACTCTAATGGTTCACTCTTTAGACTAAGAGAAAAGTCAATTTCATCTTTTAATGAAGGTATGCATCGATGCACTACTGATGCATCGGTGCATCAAAGGTATTCGATGTAGTATTATTGTTGGGATGCATCGATGCACTCCTTATGCATCGATGCACCAATTGCATTCGATGTTTCATTATTAACGGGATGCATCGATGCACTACTTATGCATCGATGCACGAATTACATTCGATGTTATTATTTAAAAATAGTGCATCGATGCACTACCAATGCATCGATGCACATTCATATAATTTCTGGGTTTTAACCTTGATGCATCGATGCACCATGAATGTGCATCGGTGCACTCTGCCCAGAATCCTCTTTTTGAACCCGAAAGTTCATTCATTTGGATTAAATCCTTCATGTTTAATCCCCTTTTTCATTCTTAACTCTAGTACACATCCTTAAACCTATTTATACTCATTTATTTCATCTTAAACCTTCAAATCCTATCATTCATATGTAATTCAAGAATTACATTAATAAATCAACATGTTTGAATTCCGTTTTTAACACTTCGTATATCTTAACTAGATTGATGACAAGTCAAATATAACTTTCAATTCTAGTTATGAACTCTATTCCAAGATTTCATTTAAGAACTTCAAATCTTAAATCTCTCCTAACTCAATCATCCTTTGATGTTAAGATAACTTAAGCTTTCCTTAAGCTTAGTTATCATCTAATAATCAAAACCCAATATTAAATTTAACAAGAAAATCAATAATCAGAAATCTTACCTTTGCTTTGGTTCACGCGTACAAGGAAGAAAGAAGAAGAAGATAAGTCTGGAAGCCTTTAGTTCTCTCCTTTTCAACCCACTTGTATTCATATATATCCTTATCCCTTGTTTAATTAATTGATCCTTGCAATGACTCTTTTGCCCTTCCATTCCTACTTCCTTTCAATTCAATCCTACACAATCATTTACATATATATCTTTATATTATTCATTCATTCTATTTTAATCACCAAAATTTGAAACTTTTCAATTTAGTCACTAACCCGGTATTGAGGATGTTACAAAAAGGAAACAAAAGTAATAATATAAGTACTAGATATATAGTTTACCCATAAATTTAATCCAGTAATTTAGCGGTCTCAAGGTAGCTTACTATATAACTTTTGAGTTATTGATATCTTTCCTATTGTATTAAACTAGTTGATATAGTGGGATGAGATACTAGATCCTTTAAAAAAGGTCAGGGGTTCAAATACTGACGATTGTGAATGAAACAAACTGGTTTGGGAGGGTCACTCTTACATCTACAGTACCTGATCCGGATTAGTTGATCAGTAAATTAGATATCGGTGGTTATACCAAAAAAAGGTTTATACAATATCTTTAAATATTAATTCATAATGATATCAATAATAATTAGAGGAGGATGTATGTAGATTCTGAGGAGATCAGAGCAACTACATATATATTATTAATATACCCGAGGGTCAGTTATAAATTAATATTTGAAAATGTTGAATAACTAAGTTTGGAACCTTATGTTTTAATTTCTAGATCTATCACTATGATAATTCCATTATTGTATAACTAAGTTTTGATCTGATTTATTAATTCATAATAATATATAAATTTTATTTTATATATTTCAACTGAAAATTTGTAACCACAAACTCCTGTAATTTTCATGTTCTTTTTAGCAGGTTTGAGAAGGAAAGAAAAATAAAATAAAGGAATAAAACCCAAACTAGCTCTTCCTTCTAGTGACTCTTGGGCCAGTAATGACCGAAAGGGTGCAAGTAAAAAACTCCTTCAATTATGTATGGTTCTTTTGACCCCAAAACTTGGATTTTTGGATATAATATGATAATAATATACAATTATTTATTTATTATATGTCATGTCATATAATCTAATAAGATATATATTTAATTATGTACAAATATTTTTTGAGACACAGTTATGTGCATAATTACAAGGTAAATATTTACACGCTAATTGTACAAGTCATACTGAATAAACAATATCGTCACACAAGGTGCTTCTGTCTTTCAAGTTTTCAGCATTCTTGCTTTGGTAGTCAGGGGGATGACCGTTTTGGAGTAAGATTTGCAGAACCGTTTTCATGGAAGGTCTTAATGAAGGCAAGGCTCTAGTACAATAAAGACCAAGTTTGAAGACATTGCACATTTGATTCAAGTGACAAGCTTCCTTCACATCTTCATCTAATGCATCTGATATCGAGTGGCCTTCTACATAGTAATGTTGAGCCCATTCTGCAAGTGATCTGTGTTCATCTCCACGATTCGGTTTTCGTCCCGTTGTTAGCTCCAAAAGGATGACTCCAAAGCTATAAACATCGATCTTCTCATTGATTCTCTTGGTGCGAGCATATTCTACAGTTCGATTCGAAATAAAAGATGATGTTTAACTAGAAATTAAGGTAGTGGAATTGGATGCAATGTTGGAACATACAACGCTAAAACTCACCAGGGGCAATGTAGCCGAACGAGCCAGCCACGGCGGATATTGTTGCTGGTTTTCCTTGTTTGATCAACATCTTAGCAAGACCGAAATCGGCAATTTTCGCATTGAATTCGGAGTCTAAGAGGATGTTGCTCGACTTCACATCTCGATGAATAATGGGTGGAGAACAATAATGGTGCATATAGCAGAGTCCTTGTGCTGCCCCAACTGCAATTCCGAATCTCTTGGGCCAATCCAAGATAATACCTGATGTTCGATGCTTATTCAACCATTGGTATAGGCTACCATTCTCCATGTACTCGTAAACAAGAAGTTTCGAATCCTCGCTCGACATGCAGCACATCAGTTTCACAATGTTTGAATGCTTAATTCTGCCCAATGTCATAACTTCAGCTTGGAACTCCTTGTCCAATTCCCTCTCCGGCCTTTTCTTATTCCGGATCCGCTTAACAGCAACGAAATCGTCATGGCCGGATACATCAACACGGTATACTTCTCCTGATCCCCCGGCTCCGATCTTGTTTTTTTGATCTTCCAATCCCAACAAAATGTCCTTTGTCGTGAAAGTTACCATTTGGAATGTGACGAGCTCCCACTTCGAATCTAATACGTGATTTCTCTTCCAACAAAATTTAGTGACCAAGAATGAAACTAACGAACACAGTACAAAAACTGCTATACTCGAAATCCAAATAAGATCTCGAGGATAACTCAAGTTTGAGTTTCTTTGTGAACCACAAATGTGTAGCTTTACCTTTGCAGTGGTAGCACAGAGACCAGGATTGTTTAGGAAGCTGTCGGAATAGGCACCATTGTTGAACTCTTTCGGAATATTCCCGGTGAGATGATTGGAAGAAAGGTTAAAGTCAGTACACTTTAGAAGACCAAGTTGAGAAGGAATTTGGCCAGAAAATTGGTTTCCAGACAAATCCAACTGGTTAAGGCTCGGTAGAAAACCAATGGCCTCTGGAATTTGTCCAGAAAGTTGGTTTTTGCTGAGGTTTAGAGTTCTGAGTGACTTCCATGAGACTATATCTGATGGAAGGGAACCATGGAGTTGGTTTTGATCAAGCAAAAGAGTTGACAGAGAAGGAAGAGCTGTTAATTCTCTTGGAATTGTACCATTGAAGAAATTGTTACTGGCATAAAACACATCAAGATTCCTCCATAGCTTCACTTCAATGGGGATTTCTCCGGAAAACCTGTTGTTACTGATATCAAGTCGGGAGAGATTATCTGACACTCTTCGGGGAAGCTCACCGGTGAACATGTTGTCACTTATCGTTAACATTGATAAGTTCAAAGATAACCATAGTCCACCTGGAATGCTTCCGGTGAGACCATTCCGGCCAATTTCGACCCTTAGTAAACTATTACAGTTACCAAGTGACGTTGGCAATTCTCCTGTAAGATTGTTGTCAAAAGCTATAACTCCAAGCAGCTTACCTCCATCGCATAAATGCTTAGGCAACGTCCCCGTAAGCCTGTTAGAACAAACCTCGAATCTTTCGAGCATCGAGTACCGACCAAGATCTCGAGGTAGAGTGCCCGACAGTCTGTTGCCAAACAATCTAACGTCTGTCAATCTGGAGATTTGTCCAATGCTTTCCGGAATTTCGCCCGACAGTTTATTGAAAAACAGAACTAAACTTGATAACTTTTCGAGTTTTCCAACATCACTCGGGATTCTTCCGGTCAAGTGGTTTTGAGAAAGATCAATTGCGGTCAGATTGGAAGCTCGAATCACTTGGGGAATCTCTCCAAATAGCTTGTTGTTGAAAAGATGTATCTCCTTCAAGTTCTTCAACAAGAACAAAGCATTTGGGATTTCCCCCGTTAGTCTATTGCTAGATAAATCCAGTATCTCTAGAGCTGTCATGTCTGCAATGAAATCGGGTATTTCACCGACTAAATTAGTTCCAGACATCCATAACGTCTTCAGCTTCGTCAAGTTTTTGAAACTTGAAGGAATCTTAGACGGCTCGAACTCTGAATTATCTGCTAACCCCAGAATTTCAAGCTTGGACAAGTTGCCAATTTCATGCGGGAGAGAACCATTGAACTGGTTTTTAACAAGCTGCAGGGTAATTAGCTCTTGCAACGATCCAATGGCGGCAGGAACTTCACCGGTAAAATTATTAACAATAAGGTTCAAGTACCGGAGCCGGCTTAGTGTGTCGATGTCAGCAGGGATCGTGCCGACGAAATAGTTCTGAGAGAGGTCCAGGTACTCAAGTTTGGAACAGTTGTAGAGAGTTTTAGGAAATTCACCCATGATGTTGTTGTAGTTAAGATCAATGGATGCAAGGTTCTGGAGCTCACAAATGAGAGATGGGATCGTGCCGTTGATGCTCTTGTTGGCAAGGTATAACCCGGTGACCGAGTTGTTAATGCAAGTGACTTCAGGCCAGCTGCAATGGTTGGTGGAGTTTGATGACAGCATCCAGTGGCCGATGGACGAAGGGTTTTGCCAATACTGTTTTAGTTTGACTAATATGGCTTGTTCCTGTGCTCCATGAAATTGGGAGCTTGCATGGCTAAGAAGGAGCACAAGGAAAACGGCTTTGAATTGTACTTTAAGGAAAACGGCTGTTGGTTTTGACATTTTGGGCAAGGCTAGTGGGACTCGGTATCAGAATCCCACACTGCAAGGGCTACGTTTTCAAAGCTCGACGATTTGAGTAAGTGAAGCAAACAAAAGGGAAGAGTCTTTAACGGTTATGAGTCCAAAGCTTCAGGCGATGAACATTTATACACACGTTGGGAGCAATCGAGGGGTTAAGGCATAGGAAAAGGATTTTGTAAATAATTGTTTCTTTTACAAATGAAAGTGACAAAACTGTTACTTACAGTCCTCTCTGCAAACTATGTTTGGCTACTCTTTTTTGAGGGAAAATGCAAACTTGACCCAATTATAATACCATAGATCACAATAATTCTTATCAGGTGTTTCTGGTTAAACACAACCCAAGCCCCACGAACAGCTGTGGAAAGGCAGGTTAAAGGCGACAGTCCGGTATGAAACCACCCAGAAAGACACTACTTTTTCTATGACAATTCATACGATGCTTCATTGGCATTGCCATCTTTTGCTTGGTCTTTACCCTTCCAAAACGGCAAAATTTTGTATGGATGAGAATCATTTTCCCCCTTCTTTTTTTTCTTTTCACATCTAAACGAGTATCACATGGGTGTGGAATATTGTAAAACATGGGTGTCTTGGAGGATATAATTATCCCTTGATGGGGCAGGGATTCTTTAGATAAGAGGGGGAAAGGTTGATATTGGCCTTGGGAACCGGGACCGGAAGATAGAGAGAAAACCCAGAAAAAAAGCTTGTGACTTTTTGGACCAAGCCGAAAGACTTTGACCAATACCAAAACACCGAGACTTGCTCTCTTTTCATAAAATTGAGAAAATATTATAAGTCTTTTCTAGGGGTATCAATTATTTTTTAAATGATGTCAAAATTATTCCAAAATAATAGTACTAATTTTATTTTTAATATTTATACATATAATTACAAACACAAATTGGAGTGTCACTTAACACCCTCAACAAGAAGGCGGCTCTGCCCTTTAATTAAATGCGAGTAGATTGATGGGGAACAATTCAAATGCCATCCTTATCCAATTGCCTATCATGGACAATAAAAGAGCTTCATTTTAGGGTACATTACAATTTAGGAAAAGACGTCATTTCCAAGGCTTGAACCATGAACTTTGAAGTGTAAATATAAAATTTCGAACATTTACTTGAATATTTATATAATTAAAATAATGACGATTAAATGATTACAAAACAATAAAGACACATATATTAGATATTTTTTTAAATATAGGAAATATATATTATTTTTTAAAATATATAATGTGATATCTTAATAAGAAATTACAAGTTTAAGTATTAATGATTATAATAGAATAATTAAATATTTATTATCGAATAATTAAAAAGTATTTAATAGGTTAATAAAAGGTGTCGATAATTCTTACGCTTGGCCTTGGCTCCTGATATGGGTAACGAACCCAGACCAAAGTACAATTGTTTCATAATTTCTCAGTTTTCAGTTTACAATTGCCATCGGCTTGTATGATTGCATCAGCAAGAAGGTACATGTGGATCTAATAGCGAAACCCTGTTCGTTCTGAAAACCCCGAACCCTAAAAGGACCCCAAGAAAATAAGGTGATTTTCTCAACAACAAAAAATCATCGGTGATCGGTATATATATCGATCTAACATCGGTCAGATTATATTTTCTGATCTAACACCCGTAGCAGTAAAGCGTGCCCCCTGAACCGTACTATATGCTGATTTGGCGCCACGTGGAGTATAGTGTCTCCTGTACCGCGCTATACGCTGACTAGGTTACACGTGGGGTATAGCGCCCCCCTCTCCGCACTATACGCCGTACCAAAATTATATTTAACGCAGTCCCTGATTCGCGCTATATAATAATTACATATAACGTGGTACAGGTACCGCGCCTTATATGTTTATAAATACCTCTCGTTCTCGTATCTCTCCTCACATCTCCTCACATCTCTCCTCTCTTATAAATTAATACAACAATTCCGTCAACGAGTAATAATTCTGGCAATCTTCTTATATTTGATTTAGAAATTCGTGCGATTTTTCGTTATAAGGTAATTTTGTTATAATTTTTTAATTATACTTATTGTTTATTATCATTATTTGAAAAAATATTATACTAATTATTTTTAATTAATTTTTATGTTTGTAAAATTGAAAAGCGATAGTATACGTCGAAATAGTTTTGCGGTGCAGGTAATAATATAAAATTATATTATTTAAATTATTTACGTTGATGTGTAAAAAAAAAATTTGTGTTATATTTTCGTTTATATATAATTTATTTAATCAGGTTTGTTTAAGTTGTTTTTTTTGCAGATATAATATTGCCGCACTTTTAAACTCAAAGAATGGCGCGACTTTCAGCTATTGTTTATTATGATGGTGAAATTTGAGAAGATGAAACCGACATTGTTTTCGTATCAAATGAGTATATTAAAATATCATTCAAGAGAAACATAACTCTTGAGGAGCTGATAACGAAGATTTCGAGGAAGATTAATGTTGGAAGTAACAGAAGAATGTCGTCGTTGCAGTACAGATTTCCAACATCATTGTTGATATTAACTTATACAGCGTTCGAACTTTCGAACAATGATGATGTTCAAATGATGGTTGAAGCTCAAAGTAATTATTCAGACGCCGCTATTGAGATGAATGCACATTTTGTTCAAGTGCGTGCTGTTCGGGGTTAATCTTTAAGCTCACACTATGGGCTGGCTGAACAAGTTGATCAAGTTGACAACCCGACTACAGTAATGTGTAATGATTTTAATGCCATAATGGGGAGACATTCATCCGCAACTCCTTACGATATGTACCGAGGTGAGTCAACGAACAATCCGTATGGCAACACCGCGTCCAGTTCAAGGGGAAGGCATTCATCTGTAAATTTCTTTGACCATATGGAGATGCCATCGACGCAACCATCTGTGCAGTTTCCATTTGACACGATGGCTTCAAGCTCCAGGGGGAGGCATTCGACTGCGAGCTTTTTCGATCTCAATGTCGATATGCCTTCCAGTTCAAGGGGAAGGCGTGCAAGTAGTAGTAGGTTCTTCGACCTAAATGTGGAGAGCATGGAAGAACCATCATCTCCACCAGAAGAACCGCTTCGTGAGCCTGGTGCGGATGGTGATGAAACTGGACTATTCATTCACCCAGAATCACCGCAATTCAACTCTGATGTTGATAAAGTTCCAGGAAATGTGGCACAAACTGACCCTCTTGCACACATGTATGAAGCTGATTATGGTGCAATGTACGGGCCAGAATTTGCGGATATGCCTCATCTCGGTGACTATGGATATTACTCATCAATAAATAATGGTGAGTTATCTTTAGGCATGGAGTTTTCAAGCAAATAAGAAGTGATGATGGCTATAAAAAATTACAATATCCGTAATTATATTCAGTCCAGAGTCAACCGATCGACGACCGAAAAATATGTATGATGTTGTGGCCGACGCGAAAACGGATGCAATTGGATGGTTCGCGTATTGAAAATGAAGAGGAAAAACAACATATAGGAACTAACAGTATACAACGGTCCTCACACATGTTGTGTTGAAGGGGTCAACCAAGATCATCCCAACTTGGAATCTGAAGTGATATGTCAAGTCATCATGCCCATGGTAAAAGCAAGCTCTCATATAGCTGTTGCAGTGTTGATTTCAACTATACAAACGCAGTATGGGTACACCGTCTCCTATAAAAAAACTTGGTTGGCAAAACAAAATGCCATTGTCAAACTTCATGGCGAATGTGATGTATCTTACAACGAACTTCCAGGTTGGTTTAGGTTGGTGCGGACGTTGAATCCTGAGACAATTGTGGACTTCGAAACCTCCTATGCATACCATAATGATCGAGTTCTTCGCGATCGATGCCAATTCTACCAGATTTTTTGGAGTTACCCATAGTGCGTTAATGCTGCCAAATACTGCAAGCCTGTAGTCCAGATCGACGGGACTTTATTGTATGGAAAATACAAGCAAGTTTTATTATTAGCAGTTGTCCAAGATGACAATCGCAACATTCTTCCAGTTGCTTTTGCTCTTGTCGAAGGATAATATACAGATTCTTGGGAAGGTCCTGCTGGTGCAGCTGAGGATGAACCGGAAGCACATGCTCTCCGTCCACGAGTCGGGGGACGATGGTGCTGTGTCGGTGAACGTCTCTGTCGACGTCGTGGAAAGGTCTGCCCTCGGGAAGTAGAAACGGTTTCCCGTTACTGTTGAACCACTCATAATAATCCTCAGCATACATCAAGAGGTCATCAAAAATGGGCTCTCTACGGGGAAGGCGCCAATGTCGATCCTCCCACAACACGACTCACCCATGATGCCTCACCAGCCAATCTGTATCTGTCTTGCCGCGTCTATCTAAGCTATGCAACTCGTCCATATTACGAGGTGCTTCCAGAATTGGTTGAAAACAACCAAACTGCCGGAGCACGCGATCAGTGGAGTGCCACTCGACGGTCGCATAACATATCAGAGAGACCATCGCCATCCAAACATCTGATGGACCCCTTAACTCAGGTGAGATCACCGCCCTCACATCATCAGTAGAATATGGCACCCATTCAAACTAAAACAAATAATATATAATTTTTATCAAAATAATAATCTAATTATATAACTATAATCTAAAATCGATTTTTAAACATTAAAATTTATACATGTGTGCCATCCTTCTGATCGATTAGCACCCTAATTTTTTCTAAATCATCAGGTAGCTCCTGATGATTTTTCCTATCAGTAGACCACCTATTCAAGGAAAAAAATTTGTTATACGCTGTATAAAATTATTAATACACAAAATCAGTTTTATAATTACCTCATAAGTAGTGGAAATACGAATGAGTTCTTCATAACGGGATATAAAAAGGGCAATCGATACCATGCCCAACACTGCAACAGCAGGAGACATCCGCCGATAGCATTACGTCTGTAGTCAGTGGCTCCACACATCTCCCTATACAGCAAAGCCAAAACTGCCGAGCCCCAACTGAATGATCCGGCGAGACGAAAGTCGTTAAGATGTCGCAATCACATGCAGTGAACTAGGTTGCGCGATTTGTCCGGCATCAGCAGCCCTCCTATCAGCTGCAGTATGCATGCCCGTGCATACATCTTAACCTCATCCTCAGAAGCGTCTGCGCTCAACTTCCGAAAATTGGCATCTAACCAATTTAACGGTATCATACCTCCGATAAAATTTTCCGGGACACGTCCTAGACTATCCCGACACAAAGTAATCCAAGAACCGGAAGCTATCCCCGATATCACATCTCCATCCACCGGAAGCCCCAGGCGCATATAAACATCCTCAAGCATGATCGTGCACTCTCCGCACGGAAAATGGAATGTGTGGGTCTCTGACCTCCATCGCTCTACTAAGGCATAAATCAGGTCTGGCTATATCTTACAGTGACTCTGATATCTACCTATATAATCGAATCCAGCCTCTACTAAATACGGCAAGACACGACTGGGTATCACTAACTTAAGATTCCTAATAAAAGGATCTAATACACGGTCCTTCTCTTAAAAATAAATAGTTACAAAAATTAATTCTTACTCTAATAATTATACATTAAATAAATCAACTAATTATTACTAATAATTTAAATTAAATTAAAACGTTAAAATGTTACCGTATCAGCAAAGTGTCGAGATATTTAATTCTTAATCTAATAATCATGCATTAAATAAATCAACTAAATATTACTAATAATTTAAATTAAATTAAAACGTTAAAATGTTACCGTATCAGCAAAGTGTAGAGATATATGATTTCCATCCGAGCGAAGTAGACTGTCTTCTACTATATATCTGCAAAAAAATTATATTAGTAAAATATTAAATAAAGTAAATACATAATAATAAAAATATTATAAAATATACCTTAAAAATAGAGTGATAAAAGTGATTGAGGATTGGGGTATTTATAGGGAGGATGAGGACGTGAAGGGTTGAGTATTTAGGGGTATAGCGTGCCCCTGCATCGCGCTGTACCCACGTGTAAGATACCCATGTATAGCGCGGATCAGGGGTGCGCTATACTCACATAGCGCCAGATCACCGTATATCGCGGGGCAGGGGGCGTGCTATACTCACTTGGCGCCAAATTAGCATATGGTGCGATTTAGGGAGCGCGCTTTATTACTACGGGTGTTAAATCAAAAAATATAATCTAACCGGTGTTAAATCGATAAATATACCGATCACCGGTGATTTATTTGAAAAATTGCCAGAAAATAAAAGGAAAAGACTGAACAGAGAGAAACAAAAGCAAAACAAATCAAACAATGGAAAATGATGCAAAGCTAAGCATATACAGAGCAGCAAGGACGATAAAACGCAAAGACAACTCTCTCTACAACGCACTTAGACCAATTTACGACGACTCAATCTTCATCGGTGAAGTCTCACAGCTATGGCCTCAGCTCCCTCTCGTCGCCAACCTCCGTTGCGGTCTCTGGTATTCTCCCAAATTTCACTTCACTTGTTACTTCAAATCCACCGACGGTCATACCAATAATTGGTATTTCAATACCTCCCGTCTCAACTTCCACATCGCCCCTCTCGCTGGTAAATTCCTCATTCCTCATTTTTCTTTCTTTCTTTCTTTCTTTCTTTTTATTTGACGTTTTTTTTTTAATAAAAAATTGGCTTTCTTTTGTTTTTCCTTTTTATTGGTAGGTCAGAAGGGAGGGTGCTTTATAGTTGATTCGACGCGGAGGGGGAAGCGGTTTCCTGATGGTATGTCCAAAACTATACCCATTTGAACGTGTGTTTTGAATTGCGCCATTTTTAATTATTTGAACAAGTTGTCTAATAATGATTCATCTTTGGTGAATCGGGTGAGTGCTGCTAATGATCTCTGTTCAAAGTTTCTTAATTTTACCCAGTTTCATCGTTTTCAATCTTGTTTTATGAACGTGTTTTTAGTTAATTGAAGTTCTTTAGCTTTCATAATTACCCAAATCATCTGCTGTTTCTCACCCCTGCCTCGATTTATTGATTTACCTCAATTTGTGTCTTCTTACTTGCTTATTTCATGCAGGATTCAGATACAGGCGCTATTCTGTTGATTGGGATTGTTCATTGCACCTTCCCCTTTGGGTTTCTGATATGGAGAAGGCAGCAATCGAGGACCGGTTAGAAGGATGGACCAAAGACCTGGAAGCAAGTGGAGCTGATATTGCAACTTTTGCATCGTGCTTGTTGCGGCCTTTATGGATTTCTCAGAGAACTGTCATCTGGATAAATGAAGTGCCGGATTATGATTCTTGGGATTTCACGCCGATAATTCTCGTTTCCACCTCTTCCCCGAGCGGAGTAACTCAACACAGGATGACTTCAGAGTTTAGCTGGAATTATATACCAGGAGTTGGAGATGATGAAGAAAGTTGGGCTAGGGGATTGTCTCCTAAGCTCTTCTGGAACCATCCTTATGATCTTATTAGTGCAGGACCAGATTCGTGTAACCAGAAAGTTGCTGATATAGTTGAAAAGGATAGAGTATATCGAGCTCAAAGGGGGCAGAATGCTCCTCAGACCACTGCCAAACCCTCAGTCTCTGGGGGCTCACCCAATCTTCCTTGTTTAGAGCCCCAATTGTGTTCAGATATTTTTAGAGCCTCTATTCCTAGTTTTCTCCTTTGACTAAGTTTGTGAAAAGAAACACTTGAAGATACCCACATAAGCACTAAAATCAAACGGATAGGTGATTTATTCTGCCTTCCTATCTTATAAATTTATTTCAAGCACTTGTTTTAGTCTTCTCCCGATATGAGGTTATGTTCATATTTCTGTCTATTCATCGGTGAGCTGGTCAATGGAGGAGCTTAGCTGGCAAAATTTCCTTAAGATTCTAAGTATGTGGATGGATGCTATCTGGATTCTGGGGACATGGTGTCTGCAGTAAAATTCAACATAACTGAACCAGTAGGACTAAATCGAATGTGATACAGATAGGGAACATTGAATTATTTGACTAGTTGAGGAGTTGATTGTATGTAATGATAGTGACGATGGAGGTGTGCCAAAGTCAAGGCAATGGTGGACGTGGTGTATGGGTTAGAATCATATCTTTGTTACTTGCTTGTTTCTCTTTCGATCCTTTATATATGTGACAATTAGGCAGTAGTTTTTTGTGTAATTTTCATGTTACTTATACATTGTTTCGATTATGTTGTGCAGCTGAACATGCATCTAATGTTGACTGCATATTGAATTGTGATCAATGGCCAATCTCTGTCCATCATCAAAAGGCTGGAGCGCATCTGTTTCTTCCTATTGTGGTATGTGTGCAAGTAAACTGAAACATGATTTTGCTAATTATCAATTTTGTACATTTCCTGCTTTCTTTTGCCGACCAGAATTCAAAGATGGGTCGGTTTTCTTTGTTTGATAACCTTTCTTCTGCGGTTACCTTTGCACACTCAAATCTTACAAAAGGAAGAACACTTCTTATATGTTGCCACGATGGTAAACCTCACGTACCATATTCCTAATTTAACTACCATTTATCTTCTCATCCATCTTCGGGTTTTTAATAGCATTGAATTTCAGGGGAAGATATCAGTGTATGCTTTTGTCTGGCGTTCTTGATATCATTGTTTGACGATGAAGGTATGTAATCTTAAGACTAGAAGTAGATGAGAATCTCTTTCCCCCTGATAAGATAAGATGCTATATGAGTTAGCTTCTTTTATCGACTTGTTGGATGGTTTCTCAAACTTTGCTTTTCCATTTTTAGGTTCTTTTGATGGTGGCGAGACAGGTATCACAAAATATGAGATGCGGCGACGACTCGTATATATTTGTAAATTTGCAATAAAAGCCCGGCCATCCAGGGGAAACCTCAAACAAGTTTTCGGTTTTCTTAGTAACGGAAAATCCACCTAGTTTGGAGACATTTGTTCACCACTTTATAGTGAAATGGTGCTGGCTCCCGGAATTATTACCCAAATACAGCGCTATGGAGAGCACAAGGATCTTTGGTGAAGGCTAAATTTTGCACCCTATTTTATTTCATATTCGTATGTTTAATAATTTAACTAATCTTTAGAATTAGAAATGACTGATTGTGGTCGGAATTATGAATGACTTTGATATTGATGGAGGATGTGTATTCTTGAATTTATTTAATAGCTGAAAATTTTTACATCAAATAAATAAATGTTTTTAATTTACTCCAAATTTGATTTGCTCAACCCCTGGCTCAAGTGAAGTGATTGCAGAATATGAGGTGATGGGGGCTAGAGACTAAATGAAGTTGTGAGCAAACGCTGTTGCCTCAATGAATTGGTAAAGCAAATTACAAACAAGTAGAAGCTATAAAGATAATGGTACAAGCCCTTGTCAGGATGATAATACAACTATGGGATACAAGTGTGGCAGCTTTCAGTTCACTAGTTTTGTTAATCGAATACTGTCAGTATGCGAATCACCCACAAAACTGGGGTCACTTCCACAATATCTGCCTATCAGCTCGGGGTGCACAAACTAATTGGCCTTACGAAATTTGTTACCAGTTTATTCAGCACCAATCGAAAGCACAAGCAGGGCCAATCACTATGGGCAAACATGTTCTTAGCCAGGGTGTTTACAGGAGCTCCGTTTCCACATTGCTTATTCGAACTCCTGCGTATTTAAAGGTTATCGTCTATTTCATCCGGTACATGTAACTTCTCGATGGCAGCCTGTTTATAATGTCAAAGGAGAGCAAGGGTGTAGTGTAACTGAAGCTGGAATCAGACTTTTTTTTAGATAATAAAGGAAAAGACCGAATATAAGTCGATACCTTAATCGTAGCAACATCGATTGCAGATGGTTTCAAATCCAAAGCAATACCAAAATGAAGCATGGCCTTTTCATGCATGTTACGCCGCTTATAGATTTTACCCATCAAAGCATGCACACTGCTTTCACGAGGGGCATACTCTTTAAGTTCCTCCAGAACATCTAAAGCATCATCAAATTTCTCCAAGCTCATCAGTATATTAGCCTTTTGAAACATGGGAAGAGGGTTCTTCTTATCAGCCAGAATGGCCCTGTCCATTATCTCGATAGCATCCTCACTTTTCTGAAAAATGATTGCAATGAAAGCTCAAAACACTCTTCAAGATGATATTGTTTTAAGTCGAGATGAAATAAACAGTATATTAGCCTGACCTTTAAGGCATGAAGAGCCGTTCCAAGAAAAGACATTATAACAGAAGAGCGTGGGTTTATTTGGAAAGCCATTCCAAAGTGATGCTCTGAAAACTCATACTTCTCTTGACGAAGATAGATTATTCCTAGGCCATACCAGGCATTATAATGCCTATAATCAATACGGAGTGCATTCTGGTAGCTCTTGATTCCATTCTCAAAATCCTCCAAAGCAACATACCTGCATATAGTAATGAAATGGTAGAAGTTTTAAAGAACAAATGTTGTTATCAGAGCATGTTTAACACAGGAAAAAGGCTGTGGAAACATACTCATGACCGCAAAGGGTGTGTGCATATGCAAATCTTGGATTCAGTTGCACAGCTCGTTGGAAAATTTTCAGAGCAGTTTCGTGGTCTTTCTGCAAGCTGTAACGGTTTCCCATAGCACACCTGCAATTTAATTCAAATATAAACAATAGAAAAATGATAAATAATTGATTATAAGAATCTGAATGACAGCCTCTAAACTCTTGCTAAGAAGCATAAACCTAGACACTATTAAAAAGGGCAGGCAGGTAGATTTAATCTCAGGTAAATAACTAGCTTCAAGAAACTTAAGGTAGTTAAATTGGTAAGGTTCACAAAATGTCTGATAAATCTACCATGATTGAGGAGCTAAGCGGTCAGTTGATATCAGTTCTTGGGCTAAGTAACTCAACTTCATATCTTCCTTTAAATGCTGCAAGAGTATAACAACCATCAGCAAATAAATTACCACAAAATAGAGGGTTTGGATGAGAAAACTTTACACCCTCCAAAACCTTCACAAGTGAAACTTACATATAGAACAGTGGAGTAAACATCCATTCCTTCTAAACTGTAAGGAGACACCCGACGAGCAAGACTAAATGCTTGTTCGGCTTCCAAGTAATCCACCATTTCGAAATGTGCTTTTCCAATCTGCATTGGAAATTTTTTAAACACTTGGCAGAAAACATGGAATGAATCAGTACTGATTCTTACTCCACCCATGCATACAACTTTCAAGCATACCTAAATCCTTCAGTTTGTAAAATATTTAAAATCAAACACAAAATGTGAAAAACTATAACTGCATAAGTACAAGCATGCAAGACTCTTTGTATGACCTCGTTATAAAAAAAAGGATACAATAAGAAAACATAATGTGTTGCACCAGAAGTATTACCTGGGACATCACCCAGCCTGTATTATAATGCTTATGTGGAAGTCTCAAATAGGTATCCAATGCATCCTGTAGGACAGAAGAGTTATCAACAGCATTGAACATTGCCCGGAGATATGAAATCAACTTCTCTTTCTTTCAGATAACCATACAATTACCTGACATCTGTACAGGCAAGAAAGTCTGAAGCCTTCCCCAAGGGTTCTTAGAAGGCCTAATACTTCTGAAGCACCACTTATGATTTTTGAACCACAAATAGCAACCCCACCAACCAGAACAGTTGCCCCATCTTGGCCAAGAGATCTCACATCACCAGAAGGAACTGAACTAGAAGTCACTGGTGCCATATTTGCCCGAGCATCATCAAATGCCTCATTCCTTAACCCTAAACAACATTAGAATTCAAATTTTCTAAGCATCAGAGAAGTTAGAAACAAGTAGATAATTGCAAGAAGGATTTTTCTTCTTATTCATCAGAACAGGAACTAAAATTTCAAAACTCAGTTCAATCAAATAATTGTCACAATTAGATAACCAAACGAAACACATGAAACAAGTTACCTTTATTACCATTGTTCCCTCAGTCATAAATCAACATATAACAATTACAAACGGTAGTGTTCAATAAAGAACTTGTCAAAAAAATGAATTGCAGATATCAGAGAACCAGCGATGAATAATAAGATTATAACCTTCTTCAATATTCTCATTCGCCCGTGACTGTCCCTTACGAAGTGTCACAGTACGAAGAGCCACGGAACTCAACTTAGAACTTCCATGGTACTTAGAAGAATTATTAGTCCCATTTCCAGTAACCACTGAGGCATTTGCATTCGTGTTTGCCCGAGAATCTCCAGAGAGTCTTGTACTTCGACGGGGACCAGAATCAGAGAATAGCCTTCCAGAAATCTGACAACAAAAAAAGATCAACAAACTGTTAAAATAATGCCATCCAACTCAAATATTTCCTGATGAGAATCATATGTCACAACCAACTAGCATGATATTGTTCATTTACAGAACAGATAGCATGTATGAATGTGCTCTATGACTCAAAATCAAACAGCACTTTCTGGTTAGAAACATCAAAGCAGGTATGACTATATGTATACATATACATATACATATTGATGACTAAGAACCATGAAATACATGCATACGAAGTTAAAAACCAAAGCTCTAACCTCTTAACAATGCATTAGAAAGGAATAATAAATTTACAATCACTTTTACCTTTCGTAATTTTCCTTCATCAACAAACTTTCTTCTAGGCGCTTGAATGGCAGTGTTCACAACTGACCTTGGAGAACCACCAGTGTTACCCGTGTTGAGGTTGGAACCATTTGGCTGCACATTTCTACACAAAGGCGGAGGAGCTACATCTGACAACTACAACAAACAGAGGAATTCAGGCTGGTTGCCCATAATCAGACTGGAAAGATCAAACAAACTAAATAACCTCAGTTCATCCATCTTAAGTACCAAACTAATCAAAAAAATAGAACTCAACACAAAATTGTGATTCAATGTGTCACATTTCACATCTTACCTGTGAAGCCATTGGTGAAGGAGTATTATAAAATGGTGAAGGACCACCATTTTGGGGCTGAGAAGCAGCTGCACTTGACACAGCTGCTCCGTGATAATTATCAGGAATATCTCTATAGTTATTGCCTTGCGTGTGTTTGACTTGCCTGGGACAGGCGTCTTCAGAAGCAAAGTTTCGCGAAGAAACCAAATTATAATCCTCGCTGGAAATTTGCAAATCTGGGGTAGCTGCCCCTTGATGTAAGTACTGCTTTTGAATACAAAGAGCAGCTGCTTCACCAAAAACTGCAGTTGCTTCTTCAGCAGCACCTAAAATATTCAGACAAAAAGAATATAATATGAATATATGAGAACAAGCAATAAATGGGACTAGAATAGGAACACATGAAAAAAGAAATATTGAGTGAAACAAAATCAAACCAAACTAAAACAATCTGCTGAGCCATTCATGTGGCATAGTATTCCTAAGGAGTCAAACTTTAACTAGTTAACTCGAAACTTAGTGAGATCAGGGATCTGATCAGCCTAGCATGGTAGCATAGCACTAAAATGAACACAAAACCATAAGAGCATTTGTTTTAGACAAACCTAATACACTCAACTCCTCGTATGCAGCCCAAAGTAAAGGATCAATAGATAAAGCCAGCCTAAAACGATGAATGGCACTTTTCTTTCTATCTGTGCACCTGAAAAAGATAAAATGCCAAATTTGGGGGATCAGAACTGTTAGAAAATTGAATCCACCATAGCAGTGATTATAAAGGGCAAGCCAAAAACACTAAGGATTAGATCCCTTCATTATAGAGGATCGAATTAAGATTGTGTGTCTCAATGTCCACCAAGCAGCGTATTAAGCAACATTATATAAAAGAGAAAAAAAAAGACGGCCACCAACGCAAAGCCATACACATCCTTCCTATATCTTCCACATAATATTGTGAAAGCTGGAATTTTTTTCTCCTCAAATTCTGTCATATCTTCCACAGTTAATGAAGAAATAACTCAGCTGACCTGTAAATAAGTCCAAGAAGATAATGACCAGCTGCACCATTTGGGATCTGTACATAAAGCAAAAGGAATTAACTAGATATTGCCATCCCAATAATATTGTGAAAGCCTCAAAAAACTCATGAGACCCATCACCCTATACCTCTCCGCCAGGCTCATTAGCATGACATAAAGCTGTTTCAGCTTCACTAAGTAGATCCATCT